AAAAACGCATGATCGCACCGGCTCGCCTGGTGCGTTCCAGCCTTTGTTATGCGTTTTTGCCGTGCAACGCTAGAGCGCTGCAACAGGCAGCAAAAACGCATATTACACTGACCCTTTCAGTGTGCGTTTGTGTGTGTGTGTGTGTGTGTGTGTGTGTGTTCGTCTGTCCGGATGTTTCAACTCGCTAACCGCGCATGCTTTAAGGCTGAAATTTTGTGTGTTCCCCAGCCAGGTACCACCCCAGGACCGCAGTTTCAACCCTCACGCACGTCTGGGCCCCGCGAATGGGCACGTGAAAGCGGGAAAATTCATAACTCGAGAATGAGGAAAGCTAGAAAGATGAAACTTTGGGGGGATGTTTTCTACTCATGCGCGACCAAAAGTTTTTAGATTCAGCTGCCCAGGACTGCCCGGGGCCCACGTACTGGCACGTGGAAATTTTGGCGCAAAAGCCATTAACTCGGGGACGGGGAAAGCTAGAAAGCTGAAACTTCAAGGGAATGTTCCCCACTCATGTACGAGCAAAACCAGGTGTTTAGAAGCGCCGGAGCCCACGTATGGGCATGTGAAAATTTTGGCGCGAAAACTAACTCAGGAACGGGAAAAGCTAGAAAGCTGAAACTTTAAGGGAATGTTCCCTGCTCATGTATGAGCAAAATCAGGCGTTTAAAAGCGTCTGATCCCACGTACGAGCGCGTGGAAATTTTGGCGCGAAAATCACTAGCCCTGGAACGAAAAAAGCTAAAAAGCTGAAAATTTAGGGTTATGTTCCCTACATATGTATGACCAAAAAATTTCAAATTCAGCTCCTTAAAACCGTCCGATACTCTTGTACGGGCACATGAAAATTTTGATGGGAAAACTGCTAACTCGAGAGCGGGAAAAGCTAAAGGCTTTAATTTTAATAGTATTTTCCCTGCTCATGTGCGACTAAAAAATTTTAAATTTAACTTTTCTAACGTGGTCTTTTTTTGCGGACCAGCAACTTTCCATTTGTCGGGTCATTGAAGTCGACACCTACAACTGACATACCACAGAGTTGCACAATTAACTTCCCGAACTTCCAGGACCAGCTTTCACAGAGCTACTTTGATTCCTTGCGATCTTGCTACGGCACGAAAAGTGCAAAAACGCATAATCGCACCGGCCCGTCTGGTGCGTTCCAGCCTGGGTTTATTGAAAGTTTGGAAGTTGGGCAGACAGCAAGAGATTGCTCTTAGCTGTGAGAATACAAAGACTTTACCTGTTTCATTGTGTGAAGTGTGCATTGTTTCATGCAGCGCACTGTAAAATAGTAGCTGAGGCTCACTGCTAAAAGCTTGGGCAGCTAGAAGCCCAGCATTGCTGCGATTTCTTCTCTGCTCGAAATTTGCTGATCGCTCGTACGGGTAACTCTGATAGTGGTTGCAGGAAATGCGATGCAGTCATCAGCCGACGCCCTCTATTTAGCTCGTCATGTTGCTCTTAAGACAGGGTTACCTAAGGAAGTGCCTGCTGTTACCGTGAATCGTTTATGTGGCTCCGGTTTCCAGTCCGTTATCGATGGTTGCCATGTAAGTACATATCCTACGGAGTAATTAAGCATCTTTTTTGTATGAGGGCTCAAATATCTCTTGACGTGCTGGAGTTCATCACCGCTCGGCTTTAACAGCATACTGCAGCATATTTTTCTGATCAAATTTGAACAACAGGACCAACTGTCAGCCTCAGAGTAATAATAAATGCTATGGAGCATTGTAAAAAGTGCAAGCGCACTATTGTGAAGCGTGGTTTTAAGAAGAATGCCCTATCTTTAGCGCTCTTACGAATGACCTGTGGTGGCCGGCAAGCAATTGTTGTGCTGGCAAGAGATTAAAAAAACTTATAGAAGCAGCGGGGATCAAATTCAGTCTCTCCATACTCACCTAGGGATTTTTTGTGGGTTGTGATTTCTCTGAAAATACCTGAGTATTAGATCGTGAGCATAGCTACATTTAGCAAGCAGTTGCATTTTAGAAACACTGAATGGTGCCTTATTGGTAGAATATTTTCAAGAGTGTTTAAAGTGACCATGGCAGTAAATAAAATCCGATGGTACTCGCTTTGCTGACGATGGATTTTGCGTGTCAGTGGATTTCAAATCTGGAAAGAGGAAAAATCAGTAAGTACAGCCTTTGAAGGGGTGACACGCAGGTAAAGCGCAAGCGGAGGAGGCAAAATGGAGGTAAATAGTTTCGGTGAGAGGGGATGCAGATGGATGTAGCATAGTAACATCAGTTCATCAAGCAGAAAATCCGGGCGCTTTTGTTAATGTTAATGTCAGTCGACCGGTTCATTAATTTAGCAGAAAAGGCGCATATTATGCGTAATTCCGATCCAAATGGTTTCGCAGATGGCGAAACGTTGCACGTCGTAAGAGCTCCAAAATACTTTTCCATTTGAAACAGACGTCTTTAGCTACTCAGGTATGCGCAAAGCTAAAAGCCTCAATATACGAAAGGAAAATTGGGCTTACGCCTTTTAAGTCTCATTTGTTCCAGTTTTCCTAATGAAACTTTAGTGTTGTGGATGCTGACAACCTTTTTCCAATGGCAGCATCATTTCAGTTTCTGTTAACTTATTATCAGTGCGAATTTTAGCAAATTATGGCTGGGGAGTCGAACATTGTTATCAGCGGTGGCACGGAAAGCATGAGCCAGTCTCCGTTCGTTGTCAGAAATATCCGATTTGGTTCTAACTTTGGCGCTAAATATGTGGTAATTATACTTTCTATGAGCAAAAACGTGTTTTCTTAAAGTCTTCTGTGCACATTCATATATATATATTCATATATATATGTATATATTATGTATATATTATATATGTATATATAATATATATGTATAATAACTTTGTGAATTTTAGAAGCCGAGAAATTGAAATCAACTTGGGCATATAAGACAGGTTTTGTGTCGTATCAGGTGAAATCAACTTGCAGACCTTTGTGTGTCGTGATTTTCAATCTTCTGCTAAAGTTCAAGAGTATGGGTTTAGAAGCAGGCAACGTACGAACCTTAACTTTTGAGGATAGTGATCACTTATTAGCGGCCACCCTGATAGTGATCATTTCGCTTTCGAAGGTATTTGCAGGAAGAGCTGCATCACTGTGAGTCGTAGATCGGCGCGTAAGGCGCGAACGGAAATGTGTTTCGAATTACTTGCATTTTAGCATCTGGTATAAATCGAACTACATCCTGCATGTTGCAGCTATCTGGCGCAAGTCTGATGAAGCGCGCCGCCTGCTTATTTCTAATTTCCATGCGTTTTTGCACAATTATGCAAATGTAACCCAGACTGGAATGCACCAGATTTGCCGGTGCGATCATGTGTTTTTGCACCGGACTTGAAGTACTCAAGTCGTTAACCGAATGAATGGTTGTTGCTTTACATTTACCTTTTGCGCTCATTAGCGTAAATCATCGTAAATTTTGCATAAAGAAAATGAACAATTTCTGTTCTTCGAAAATGACCTAACTGTTTAGTAAGCAATCTTCCCGCCGAAAATTTTAAGTCCCCATACGTGAGAGCCATGCATACCTGGAGGATGAATTTGAAATATTTAAGATGTACTTGGACAGGAAACATTCCCTTAAAATTTCAGCTTTCTAGCTTTTCTAGTTCCCAAGTTAGTAACTTCCACATGCCTATACGCGAGTACCACGTGTGTTCCAGGCGGGGGAGGGGGGCTGAATTTAAAATTTTTAGCCCAAATATGCACGGAGAATATCTCTGGAAAGTTTCAGCTCTCTGTTTTTTCTGGTCCCCGAGCTCACTTTCCCGCCACAAAATTTGCATGTCTTTTTGAGGTGCCCGTACGTGGGACTCAGGCGTACGTAACTGATAATACTAAGACTGGAGGGTCGCGCAGGCGGCGGGCACATTTTACCGAAATTTCAGTCCTCTAGCTTTTCTGGTTCTCGAGTTGAAAGTGAGTGACAAAAAGTGCGAATACACAGACACACACTGACAGCCTCTTGCCAATATGCGTTCTGCATTTGCATATATGCAAAAACGCATATTGACAAGAGTCTGTCTGTCTGTGTTTGTGTGCTCGCATTTTTGTCACCCACTTTCATATCGGCAACCGATGAAGTTAGGAAGCTGAAATTTCTGGAGCTTGTTCCCATCCCTTGTTCGTTGCTCTGTTTCTGAAGCCATCTTCTAACTGTGTCTTGGTCATATTTACGGACTCCTTAAAAATTATGCAAATTTTGCGAAGAAGAAGCGATTTTAGGAACAGGTTAGGAAGCTTGAACTTCGCAGAGGCATTCTGTGCCCTTATATTAGCTAAGGTTTTTAAATTCAGCTCAAAAGCACGCGTACTTGCGGTTTCGCAGTAGTTGGGAGATGCCAACTCGGAAACTAGGCTAAGTAGATTTCTCTAATCTTGCAAGAACGTTTGTTGTATATATGTGAGTTGTTGTATACATGTGAGCATAGCCCGGTCTGTGTTTACAGCTAAGGGATGAAACACACTGAAAAATATCACCCCACTACATCTGAAAGATAAAGGCAATTTGCACCATAAAATAACACCATAAACATGGCTTGCGTAC